ATACAGTGACAGAAAAATAATAGCAAGTAAAAGCATGCCAAGTACACTGCATGTTTTTTAGCACAACCAATTCCAAGAGGCAACCTTCCTTGAAGTTCCAGCCTCAACCCATGGAGGATCTCACGCGGGCTTCATTGGAGATGGTGTGACACCACAGTTATACCTTCATTTAGTTTCTTTCTGTTACCCCTTGGGTTCATTTCTTCAGATTTTTGTATTGCTTCAAGAATTCTCTGAAGGGCTGGTTTTGTGGACATGAATTCTTTCAGCCTATTTATGTCATGGAAGATTTTTCTTTCCCCTTCACCTATAATAGACATTTTGGCTTGGTAAAGTATTCTGGGTTGGCATCTGCGGTCATTTAGAACTGGGAATACTTTGGCTCTTCTGGCTTTCATAATTTGCACTGAAAAGTCAGCTGTAATTCTGATGGGTTTTCCTTTATATGTGACTTGTTGTTTTTCTTTTGCAGTTTTCAATATTGTCTCTTTGTTCTGTATGTTTAGTGTTTTTACTATGATGTGCCATGGAGAGTTTCTTTTCTGGTCCTCTCTATTTGGTGTTCTATGTGCTTCTTGTATTTGTATGGCATGTCTTTCTTTAATTTGGGAAATTTTCTTCTACAATCCTGTTGAAGATCTGGTCCATACTGTATCCTAAGATTCTTCTCCTTCCTCTATGCCTATGATGCGTAACTTTGGTCTTTTTATGGTGTCATGTATTTGCTTCATATTCCATTCCTGTGTTTTCTTACATTTTTTATAATTTTTGCTTGAGTGGTCTAATTCCTCAACTTTATCTTCCAGTCTTGATATTCTGTTTTCCATTTCATTCATTCTATTGGTGAGGCTTTCTCCTTCATTTCTAATTGGCTTAGAGAGTGTTTCACTTCTTTCTTCATTTCAGCCTGAGTATTCTTCAATATTTCTAAGTCTTCTGACTTCACTCAGAAATTTATCCCTATCTTCTTTCAGTTCTTTGACTTCTTGTTTGTGTGTTCTTTAAATTCATTGAATTCTTTTATCATGTTTATAAATGTTCTTTTGAATTCCATGTCCTGTATTATCTCTAGGGGGTTCTCATTGTACACCTACTCTACAGGACTGTTGGTACTTGGTGGAGACATATTATTTAGGTTTTTCATGTTATTATATTTTCACTGTGACTTTGGCATGCACATTTCTTTTTTAGTTTGTGATTTTTGTGTGTGACTCGAGCCTTCCTTTGTTGAGTTTAGGTCTGTTTCTGTTTGTATACTTTATGTGTCTTTGTTGTTTAATTATTGGGTATGAAAAGCTGATTGGTCTAGACTTCAGGTTCTGTCTTTTGATTTTATATTGAAGGGGCCAGATGGTTTTAATCCTGCTGTTCAGGAGTTCCCACAGAGGCCCAAGTCAGATGAAGATCAGATGCTCTTTGGCTTCCTCCCAAGGTCTGGGTCCCTCTAGTCAGCAGGCACAGTACAATTTTGGAGGCTTGCAGGGAAGGTTGCTGGCCTCAGGAATCCCAGGCAGGTTGGGGGTGGGGCAGCCAGAGAAGGCTGGTCTCAGTTGGGCAAAAGCGAGTTGGGGGAGGGGGCAGGCTTTGAGGGCTCTAGGGGACTAGACTGAAGAATTGGGTTGGTCTGGGTACAAAGGATCAGGAAGCAGTGGGGGATCTGGGCCACAAGGGTAGTCCAAAGGTCTGGGGTGCCAAGAGAAGAAGTGGGCCAGTGCCCTGCTAGAAGGAGAAATTGGTTGTCTATTTGTTTATTTTTATTTTATGTGTATGAGTGTTTTTGTCTGCATGTATGTGAGTGTATTATGGGAATTAACCACAGACTGACCTGGCCCATACAGAAGACTCAGGATGCAGAAGAAATTATTCTTTAGTACACGTGGGCCCCAGACTGGGCAAAACCTGCTCCAGAGAAACTGAGGCACAGACCAGAAATACATACAGAGTTTTATAGGATTTTTCGCTTCATCCCTTGGTAGTAATCATATTAGTGGATTTGAGACTGCCAGCACAGTTGTATACGTGCCCCTTAGGTTATTATAGGAAATTTAGAGAGTCAGTGTTTTGTAAAGAAGAAGAAATTTTAGGCAAGTGTGGGGTTGTGACACTTCCCAAGGATATGCTGATGCCAGTACAAGCTTAACTATTTTAACAAATAAGACACATGGTAGCAGGTGCTTCCTTAAAGGCCATTATAAGAGGCAGCACTTTTCAAGGTACTCACAGCCTGTGGTTTTTGTGGCTGTCTGCTTTGTCTTATCTCAGCCTGAGAATGAGCTCAGAGTGACCTTTACGACTTAAGTGCAAGCAGAAGCTTCCAAAGTCCTGTTACTTCCACATATATTAACAAGCATACCAATTATCAGGAGTATATAAGGTTCTTGTCAAATACATTTGTTAGTACTTACTCATCTATCATACAGAACCAAGTTCATTAGGTGAATTTTCCTCAAGGCATGCATACAATGCCCACAGAGGCCAGAAGAGGGTGACAGATCCCCTTGGAACTGGAATTGTTAACCTCCATATGGGTTCTGGAAACTGAGCCCAAGTCCTCTGAAAGAGCAGCCAGAGCTTTTAATCACTGCGCCACCTCTCCAGCCCTTATTATGTTATGTTTAATTATGTGTATATGTGTATCTCTATGTGGGAGTATATTGAATGTAAGCACAGGTGCCTGTGGAGTCTGGAGAGGGCATCAGATCCCCTGAAGTTGCAGTTATAGGCAGTTGTGAACCACCTGATTGATGTGTATGCTGGGAACTAAACTTAGGTTCTCTGGAAGAGCATAATGTGCTCTTAACTTAGACATCTCTCCAGCCCTTATTATTTTTATTTTTTCATAGTAAGGATATTTAAAATAAATTTTCTTGGATTTAACACATTGATATTAGTTCTCATCCCATGCTGTATAATGGATATCCTGAGTTTGTTTCTCCTACCTAACTGAAATTTTGTACCCATATCTTTCCAGTTCTTCCCACTCGTAGCCCCTGCTGTGGGTTTGACTTTTTCAGAGTCCACATCTAAGTGACATCATGGGCCATGCAACAGAATTGTCTTTGTGTGTTTGGCTTACTTGATGTCCTCCATTCATGTGTTTGGCTTACTTGATTCATGTGTTTGGCTTACTTGATGTCCTCCATTCATTTATACTGCTGCAAATGGCAGAGTTCCTTCTTTTTTAGGCTGAATAGTATTCCGTTGTTTATGTAGAACACATTTTCTTTATTATTTCATCAGCAAATGGACACTTAGTTGTTTCTACTTTTTGGAAGTTGTGAATAGTGCTGCATACACAGGAGTATAGATATGTCTAATATACTGACTTGGTTTCCCTTCAATAGATCCTGAGGTATAGGACTGCAGATCATCTGGTAGTTCTAGTTTCCATTTTCTGAAGCACTTTCATATTGATTTCACAGTAGCTGTACCAGTGAGCACTCCTGCTAACAGTACAAAGTTGGAGCACTGTTTTTATTAAGGAGTTCTTCCTCATAGTGAACTAGACTCCTCTCCCCTCCCCATAGCTTGTAGTCACTATGAAGGTGATGTGGAATTCAGTTAATATTTAGGTTTTGTTATTGCCAGGTCACAAGCCTTGGGCTTGCCTCATTTGCATGTTATTCTATTTATTTTTAAAATATTTTACTTATGGGGCTGGAGAGGTGGCTCAGCGGTTAAGAACACTGGCTGTTCTTGCAGAAGACCCAGGTTCAAATCCCAGCACCCACATGGCAGCTAACAACTGTCTGTAACTCCGGTTCCAGGGGATCCAACAGCCTCTTCTGTCCTCCAGGGGCATTGCATGACATGGGTGCTCTTACCTACATGCAGGCAATACACGCATACACATAAAAATAACAAAATAAAAAATTTACTTATTATTTTTACATGCATGAATGTATTGCCTACATGTATGTAGGGGCACCTGTGTCACGCAATGCCCATGGAGGTCAGAAGAGGGTGTCAGATCCCCTGGAACTGGAGTTACGGATGGTTGTTAGCTGGCATGTGGATGCTGGGAACCAAACCCAGGTCCTCTGCAAGAGCAGTCAGTACTTTTAATCTTTAAGTTATCTCTCTAGCCCCATGCTATCTTATTTAATCTTATCACAGGTCTATCAGGAAGTGATTGCAATCATTTTAGAAATGGGAAAAGATGGAGCCAGTGAGATAGCTTAGTGGATGAAGGTGCTTGCCACCAAGCCTAATGACTTGAGTTCAATCCTCACAACCCACAGGGTGGAAGGAGAGAACAGATTTCAACAAGTTGTCCTCTGACCTCCATGCTCACACCATGGCATGTGCGTCCCACCTTATCCCACGTGTACACACACACACACACACACACACACACACACACACACACACAGAGAGAGAGATTAAATAAATAAATTAGTATAAAGAAATGGTGAAAGGCTCAAATAGGCCACAAGCCTTGGCAATGAGGTTTCCGAGTACTTCTGTGACAGGTACTGTTTGAACTAATTCTGCTGCATAGGTATGTGTAATTGTCCTTGTTTTCTATGTGAGGACATGAGACTCAGGAAGGATGAAAATATTGCTCAAAGTCACACAGATAGTGAGTTGGGAGGTGACATTTGAGTCCAAGTAGTATGGTGACTCCAGAGTCCATGCTGTTCACCACAAGGCCACCTCTGCTCCACACACTGGTAAACAGATGGACTTTCCATTCCTTCCGTCCATGGTGGTCTTCCCAGGCAGCAAGACTATGTCCCTGTCCTCCCTTTCCCAAGTAATTTATTCTTCACCACATGGCTTCCAGACATGGTCTAGCCCTCCCTGGCTGCTTTCTATCTACCCCTCTGAGAGTATAGGTCCATGGTCCTCTGGGAGAGGCTGGCCGTGTCAGGGTACAGTGGAACAGTCCTACTACTATGTAATATACCACGTGCAGCTCCACATTTGGTGCTTGGTTGTGTGACTCCCACTCAGCTGGTGGTATTGTTCAGAAAGTACCTGCCCTCCTGTCATTTAAGGTGTCAGAAATCATCCAGTTTATTTACTACCATGTGGACAGAATCACCGATATAACTGCCCAGAATATTATAAAGAAGATCTTCCAAGTCCTGGTCCAATCCTACACAGATGAAGTTATCCTGACACTGTTCAAGATAGAGGACCAGACACAAAGGTAAGCCAGTCTGTCAGCTGCAGACTTACGAGTCACTAGCAGGCTTTTAATGAGCTTATCCCTGTGTGTATGTGGGCGTATATGTTCATCTGAGTGCCTGTGTATACATGTGTTTGGAGGCTAGAGATGACTTTGAGTCAGTCTTCCTTAGTCATACTTCACTTTTTTTTTTTTGAGACAGGGTCTCTCACTAAACCTGGAGCTTATCAATTTGGCTTGGTTGGCTGGCCAGCAGGCTCCAGGGATCTGCGTGTCTTTGCCTCCCCAGTGCTGGGGTTACAGATGTGTGCTACTGCATCCCTTTTTTGTGTGGTTGCTGGGTATCCAACTCAGGTCCTTGCGCTTGTGTAACAAGTACTTTACCAACTGAGCCATCTTCATAGCCCCAGCTTAGTTTTAAGGTGTATTCAATATTTAGTATTTGGGATATAGTGATTCTAAGAGTAGTCAGCTTTATTGCAGAAAATTTGGAAAGCATGTAAAATTTAGAAAAACCAAAGCAAAAAAAAGATTAAATCAGCCAAAAGTACCCTCTGCTATCACTTGAGTATAATTTAGATTTTTACCTACCTTTTGAAAGTGGTGTTTCTTTAAAAAAATGTGTATATAAAATTAAGCTCATACTATATCTCCCAATTTGTGCATTTTCACTTAATGTTTTATTATGGCATTTACTAAGTTAAAATCCTTTAATAAGCAACATTTTAATGGCTTCCTGATCTTAAATTATATGGACATACTATGTTATAATTTTCTTTTTTAAATAAAAAGCTAATATACATGAAGTAAAATTCATCCTTGTGATGTATATGAATTTTCTAAAATGCATGGTCATAATAATCATTACCAACCAATCATTACTAATCATTACAACCAAGAGGGCATGTCCACAGCATCCCTGCCACTGCTTCCTCTGTGCTGCCTTTCTAAGGTCAGCTCTTTCCTGTATCTACAGCTGGTCTGTTTTCTATCCTTGAAGTTTTGCCTTTTGCAGAGTGCTGTGTACCTTGAAACATATAACATGTAGATGGATTCGCAGGAAAAGTTATCTTATACCAAGCCTGATGACCTGAGTTTGAGTCCCAGGACCTATCTGGTGGAAGGAAAGAACAGACTCCTGCAAGTTGTCCTCTGATTTCTACATGCACACCATGGCACACACCACACACACACACACACACACACACACACACACACACACACACACACACAAATTTAAGAGTAACTGAAAGGTTAAAAAAGAAATTTCCTTTCTATTTGTAGTTTGTTCAGAGTATTTATCATGACTGGAAATTAAATTTAGTCAAAAAATTTTACTGTATCTATTAAATAATTATGTGGTTTTCTTTTTCATCTTGTTAATATGACAAATTGAATTTTTTTAAAACTAAGGAACCACTTACCCTTCTGTCCTTTTATTTTATTTTTTAAAAATTTTTAAATATTTTTCTACTATTTTTATTTTATGTGTATGTGTGTATTGCCTGCATGTAGGTAAGTGCACCCATGTTGTACATGTTGTGCAATGCCCGCAGAGGACAGAAGAGGCCGTCGGATCCCCTGGATCCCCTGGAACTGGAGTTATGGACAGTTGTTAGCTGCTATGTGGGTGCTGGGATTCAAACCTGGATCTTCTGCAAGAAGAGTCAGTGTTCTTAACCACCGAGCCATTTCTCCAGTCCCTGTTCTTTTATTTTAACTAATATGTGTCAATATATCTAAAATAGATTTCTTTTATATAGCATATAGTTAGATCTTGTGGAGTGTTTTGGTTGTTATATGTTAACCCTTAGATCATATGTTTTTATCCAATCTGAAAATCTCTGTCTTCTAATTATTATATTTAGACTATTTACAATTAATGTAATTAATATTATATTTGGATTTATGCTCCATTTATGTTTAATTTCCAGTTTGTCTGTCTGTTTTGTGTGTCTACATTCCCCTTTCCCATATCCTTTTGTATTATTTGAATTCTTTTAGGTATTCCAGCTTTATTTACCCATACATTTATTGGATTAAAATTTAACTTTATTGGGACATTGAGAATTTACATACCTATACTTTCATAGTCTCACAGCTAATATTTATAACTTCAAGAAGAGGTTTCAGCACACAGCACCCTTTGTCTTCCCTGCTTCATCTCATAGTTGCCATTTGCATCACATTTACATATATTAAAGAAATTGCTGGCAGTTAGACTTCTTTCAACAGTATGCATATTTTTATTTTTTAATATTTTATTTATGTACTTCTAAATTTTATGTGTTTGAGTGTATTGCTTGCATGTGTGTAAGTGTACCTGTGTCCTGCAATACCTGTGGAGGTCAGAAGGTGTTGGATTCCCCTGGAACTGGAGTTACAGATGGTTGTTAGCCACCAAGTGGGTCCTGGGAATCGAGTCCCAGTCCTGTGCAAGAGCAGTCAATGCTCTTAACTGCTGAGCCGTCTCTCTAGCCCCCCAGATTAAATTTTTTCATTAAAATTTTATTGAGAGTTAGGCATGGCGTATGCCTTTAATCCTAGTACTCAGGGGACAGAGGCAGATCTCTGTGAGATTGAGACCAGCATGGTCTATATAGAAAGTTCCAGGCCAGCTGGGGCTACAGGGAGACCCTGTCGCAAAAAAACCAAAAAGAAAAATTTATTGCAAACATATCTTTGGGTAACAAGTTTTCTTTCATATGAACTGTTTCATATTTTATCTTCATTTCTAAAGATTGTTTTCACTAAACATAGAATTCTAGGCTGACAATTCTGCCCTTTTAACATGTAATCCTTTGTCTTGAGATTATTTAAGCCTTATTCTATACCTGGGCAACTCAGGAATGGTTGTGGGGTTTATGTTGTCTCACATATATTGTTAGGGAGTCCCTTCCTCTTGCTTTCTTCTAAGAGTTCCCTCACTTGTTGCTTCCCAGGGACCTCTTCTCAGCTTCTCTGTCTAGAAAGCTTGATTTATACCAAGAGTTTAAGCTCTCTTTGCTGATACATTGCACAGTTGCCTTCAGGGTAATGAAGTTAAAAAAAAAAAAAAAGAACTAGAAAACAACAGCTATAGGGCTGGAGAGATGGCTCAGAAGTTAAGAGCACTGGCTGCTTTTGCAGAGGACTCAGGTTTGATTCCCAGCACCCACACGGCAGCTAACAACTGCCCATAACTCCAGTTCCAGGGGAATCCGTTGCCTTCTTCTGACCTCCATGAGCATTGCATGACATGGATGCATGTACATACATGCAGGCAATATACACACAAAATAAAAATAATAGTAATAAAAAATAAAACAATAGCCGTAGCAAAAATAATATGGAGGTGCTAGGATGTGGTCCAGTGGTAGAGGCCTTGCCAGGCTTATACAAAGCTCTGGGGTTTGATCCCTAGCACCACACACACTAACACACATAGGTTAGAAAAAGAAAACAAATCTCCAACAGTAGTGAGTTCTTCCTTACCCCCGTTTACCAAGCCACATATCTCTGTTAAATATCTACATTTTAGCTGCACTCCTTCCTCCCTTCAGCTCTGCAACTGGAGTCACCCTGACAGGGCTGGGAGAGAGAACAAAGGAATAAAGAGTCCACTCAAGCTGTCTGACTCATAGGGTCCCATTTTCCTACTGCTCCAGGGAGACAGAATTTAGCCAGAGGCTTTGTTGCCTGTGTCTGTTACATAGTTTTGTACTGGGGTCACATGCAGGTCAAAGTTGGGAGATAAAAGAGAAAAGAAATAAAAATCTGAGACACTCAACAGGAATATTTTTCTCTATTTTGGCTTTCCTCTCCAATATGCCTGCTATTTTTAATTTTTCAGAATCGAATCTAACTTGTGTTTTGTAAATTAGATTAATATCGTATTATCCAGGTTTCTGTATCCTTGTTGATTTCTATCTGTGTGTCTACCAACTACTGAGAAAGGCGTCATGAAATCCTTTGTGTTTTATAGTGTTTTTAGTTTTAATAACTGGGAGAGTTAGGCTAGAGTGGGCTTGCTTGGTCTTGGTCAGTAAGGGAAATTAAAGTTGCTCATTGTTAATTTCTAATAGATTCTTTTTTTTAAATCATATTGGAATTTTAATAGAGAACTGCAAGCTCATAAACACTATATGAAACACAAATCCAGAACATTCTCCAAGCTGCAGTTGAAAGCAAATAACTTTTGAATTTGAAACAAGAGAGTAAAAGGCAGGCTGGGCCATTTAGGACCTGTTCCTTGTGGATGAAATTACATTATTTCCCAGAAGTTCAGTTTCCTTACTTATGCTTTGGAGAAATGAGCGCTGGGAAAGGCAGTCTCAGGTGCCCAAAGAATAGACCTGGGGCCCGCTGTTCCTTTCTGAAAGACACGGCTGGGGTTCAGCTTATCGTATTGGCTGGGAAGATCCCTGTGGCAAATTCAGTGCATGCTTTTTGCTGAGTAGACACGGGTCACATGGTACCTGGTAGGGCAGTAAACCTCTTGTGGCACCAGAGAGGGGCACACATAGTTTCAGTGCTGGGAACTGAACCCAGAACTTGTGCGTGCTAGGCAGGCATTCTACCGAATCTATCTTTTCCTTCCAATCTATCTTGTCCTTCCTTCCTTCCTTCCTTCCTTCCTTCCTTCCTTCCTTCCTTCTTTCCTTCCTTCTTTCTCTCCAAACTTTTGCCTGTCTTTCATTTCTTTCTTTCTTTCTTTCTTTCTTTCTTTCTTTCTTTCTTTCTTTCTTTCTTTCTTTCTTTCTTTCTTTCTTTCTGTATGTGTGGTGATAGGGTCTTGTCCTTTAGCCTTGGCTAGCCTGGAACTCAATATGTAGACCAGGCTGGCCTTGGCTGACATTATAGGTGTGCAGCACTACACACAGCTTTCTTCCGTTTTCTTCCCTCTTTCTGTTTGGACATTTCTTTTTTGTATTTCTTCCTCTTTTTACAAAACCATTGGCTTATCTGTTTATCTATGATGCTGAATTCAAAGAAGAGCGACAGGTAATTTGTACCGTGGGGCATTTTCTTAATTGAAACTTTGCCCACAGAGTGTCTGTGAGGGATCTGCTGACCAATGTCTTCCTGGGACACATCATCACATCTTGTTTTGTTTCCTCCTCTTGTTTCTCCTCCTTTTTTTGGCTCCTCCTTCCCTCCATTTCAGTTCTTGCTTTGCTTCATGTTCACCGGGGTTCCTGTTGGATTGCTCTGGACTGTGGGCACACTGACTATCTGGTTGATTTTGTATGACAAGATTCCAAGTTTCTGATTTGGTTAGAGTTGTCATCAGCATCCAGCCTTTGGTTCATGATTGCTTTGCTTTGAGTCTTCTCTCTTAAAGGTTCTGTTTTTAGAGACAAAACCCAACCGTAGTACTTCAAGGTTTTATCCAAGAAAAGTCATTTCTAGACATCTAAGTTCCAGGAGGTTGACTGCATTCTTGTGAGTTCTGAAGTGGAGGAGGTATCTTCCCCTTCCTAATAGAGTCTTATCATGCTAGGGAAGATTTCATTTTATATGCTGAACTTTTTAAAAATAAAGAATCAACTTTAAATTTCACCAAATATTATCACATATACAAGGACACAATTCTAAAATTCTTTAGCAATTTCGTCTCCAGTGGTTAGATATTTTGATATTCTTTTTCTTTCTTCTTTCTTTTGGGAATGGTAATTGGAGAACTTGATCTTAAACTCTCCTTTTTGGAATATGTTAAGATTTTTAGTGAGTGTGTATGGACTAGGAAGGTTATGGTTATCAATTTTGCTCTATATTTAACATTTGAAATAAAATTTATATTTCCTACTACATGTAAAATTATACCAGGCTGATTAATGAATTTATTTCTGCTTATATGATCTGTCAAATTCTTTTTTCTTTGTTGTTGGGTTTTTTTTATTGTTTGTTTGTTTGTTTGTCTGTTTGTTTGTTTGTTTTGAGACAAGATCTCCTTGCAGCCCCAGCTGGCCTGGAACTTGCTATGTAGACCTGGGCTCAGTTTCACAGAGATCCACTTGCCTCTGCTTCTGCCTCCTGAGAGCTGGGATTAAAGGTATCTGCTACCATGTCTTGAAAGATTTATTTATTTTTATTTATGTGTATGAGTGTTTTGCTTGCATGTATGTATAAGCACCACATGTATACATTGCCTGCAGAGGCCAGAAGAGGGCATTGGATTCTCTGCAACTGGAGTTATGGACAGTTGTTAGCTGCCATTTGGGTGCTGGGAACTAACTCCAGTTCTCTGCAAGAGCAGCCAGTGCTCTTAGCCACTGAGTCATTTCTTTGGCCCTGATCTGTCAATCAATTCTTGATGTTGTATTGATAGGTCTCACTTAGCTTGTTAGAGCTGCAGATCAGCCTCTTAAATTGTTTTATAATGTTCCATTATTCAATTATTCCGATATTTATCTTACCAAGTCTTTTGCCAATTGCTATTTGTTTTCAGTTTTTCCTATTGTTACAGTGTTGTCATAAACATTCTTATATTAATGTAATGTTTGGATTTATGGGCATACTTACCATTTTATTCATGTACCAACCTTCTTGAATTTCATACTTTCCTTATTAAATTGTTTTTCTTCTCCCTTAAAGTCTGTTCTTTAGGACCTTATCCTCCAGTAAGTCTGCCCATCAAACCATCCGTGTATCCCTAAAGGAAGTCTGCCTTACACAACAGATTTCCTGGGAAACCTGAAGGTTGGCTTTTCTTTTTATTCAACACTTGGAGGACTGACCGCTTATCTCCTGCTTTCTGCTGTTGCTGTTGGCAAGCTGCTGTCAGTCTAACTTCCGTCGTTCCTCGTCGTTCTTTTCTTCGTCCCTAGGGCACCCAAGTGTCATGTTGCCAGCACTGAAATACGCTCTTTTTAAAAAATTGTATTATTTATTTATTATTTACTTAATGTGTGTGCGTGTTTGTGCTCACACGTGCTAGTGCTATGGCATGCGTGGAAGCTAGAGGACAATTGTGGAATTGTTCTCTCCTTCGACTATGGATTCTAGGCAGGCTGTTGTACTTGGTGGCACCTTTACCAGCTGAGCTATCTCACCAGTCCCACACCCTCTTTCCTTGCCTCTTATCTCCTTGTCGCTCTCTCCTGATGTTTCAAAAAGGCCACCGTGACTCCTGGAGGACATTATAATGAGTTTGCTTCAAACTTCATTGTTCCTTGGAGAAAATACTTTCCAGACATTTGCTTTTGTTTTGCATGTGGTTTTGTCAGATCCATATGTGAGAAGATATCCAGGTGAAGGAAAGACATTTGTAGGAGTTCAGAGGAGGGTGTGAGGTACAGAGCTGGATGGGTGTTGTGAAGGGAGGCTGTCAGACCTGGCCTCAAAGTGGCATGGTCACCTGGGGCATTGCAGGCTGGAGGGGGAGTCTGGAAGACAGATTTGTTTTCTTTTTCATTTCAATTTAAGTTTTTGATTTGTTTACGTGTATGGGTGTTCTGCCTGCATGTATCTAGGTGCACCACATGTGTGCAATGCCTGTGGAGGCCAGAACAGGCTATCAGATCCCCTAGAATTTGAGTTTCTCATGGTTGTTAGCCACTATGTAGGTGCTGAGATTTGAATACAAGAGCAGCAAGTGCTCTTAACCACTGAGCCATCTCTCCAGCCTTTTTTTTTTTTGTCTTTTTTGAGATGGGGTCTCATGTAGCTCAGGCTGGCCTCAAACTACCTATGTAATTTGAGGATGACCTTGAACTACTCTTGCCTCCACCTCTGAGGTGCTTGGATTACAGGTGTAGGCCACCATGTCCGGTTCATGGGTTACTGGAGACTGAACCAGGGCCTCATGTACTCTGCTAACTTATCTGTGTTCCCAGATTCAGATGCATTGTTGGTGGGGATAGGGAGAGCTTAGACCTGGCCACACGGTCAGGACACTGAAGGGCAATCAACGAGCTTTGGTCTCAGATTTTTTCAGGCTCATAGGCTAAGTGAACATTTTCGTATTTCTCTATGTGCAAGATAACAGGGAACAGAGAAGTCTAGAGGTGACAAATAGTGAAAGGGATAAAAGAAGTGAGGGGGTCACGAAGGGGAGATTCGAAGAAGGAAGCAAGCAGGAAGACTAGGCAAAGGAGCCAGGGTCCTTCCCCTGGAAGCCTGGTAGAGAGTGGGTTGCCTGTAATTGTATTGGTGGCTTCTGACTCTGCAGAGGGATGTGCAAGCCCTGGGAAATCCTGGCATCCTTTCCGAAAGGCTACTGCGTGATCATGGAATATCTGCTGCAGAGGCTGATTCCATCCCAGGCACTGAAGGACCAGGAGCCCAGTGAATCAGAGATCTCCCCACCAATTGTATGGAGGAGTGGGGTGGAGGGGTGGATTTGACGGGTGGGGGCTGGGTTAGAAACCCACTGGGGCTGGGGTTGTACTAGTTTGAGCTCTGTGGACCATTTAGGGGCCAGTGTTCAGTTGAACATTTTAGTACAAGACTCTCCTGCTTGGGTTAGAGGGAGGGTTTCTAGTCAGTTGCCTTTTCTGGGACAGAAGAACATGTTCTCATGGGTGCACTGAGGAAAGACAGACACTCTAGGCCCTCCTGAACTCTCAAGGACAGTGAGAGACTAAAGCAGTTCCACAGTTATAGAAGTACATAAAGCCATTCTAGAAACAGCCTGGCTCATTAGTCCTTAAGTGCTGTCAGCACCAGAGACGTCACTGAGCAAGCCTGACAGGGTGAGGGGTTGTAGAAAGAATTTCCTGGTGATAGGACTTGTGAGAGATAACAAAGACACTGGCATTCTCATTCTCCTCTCTTCTCCAGGCCACCAGGGCCATCCATGAGCTGCTGATGGTACAGAGTCAACGGCTGGAACTTCAGTCCTTCTTCGCCTCCCTGTTCATCATGTTGCTGTTCCAGATCTCCTTCCTGGTGACTCAGAGAAGTGCTGGAACCCAGTTCCAGCAGCATGAATGTATGGACATCCTGAGGTACCTGGGCCAGTGTGCTAGTGACTATGCTCTGGGCACCAGCATGTTGGCACCCTCACCCAGTGTGGCTCCAGCCTGCTGGGCACAGCCCCTTTTCACACCCTCCTGTGTTTGGTGTATTGATCATATGTCACCCTAGACTTTCTCCAATATTCTCTCTAAATATAAGTCCTTAGGTGGATTCACGTTCTACACTAAAGTGAAATCAAAATGAGATGCCTGGGCCCACAAATCTGAATTCTATTCTCTCTTCCTCTGCAGACTTCCTGTGTCACTTCAGAAACCATGCACCCCTTGTTTGTCTCATTTGTGAGATGTTGTACTGGGTCTTTAAGGGTTGTCCCAAGGCCAGGAGTTCCTAATTCACAGGGTGACGGGAGTCCCATATGGGGTCAGGAGGGCAAGGGAATGGGTGGTGATGTCTCCCTACCTGCCTCCTGCTCTGTCCCCAGATCTTCTGTAGAGGCCTTGAAGACCTTGCTACGCAGCTCAGGGTATGTGGACCACATGACTTATATTCAAACGCTTGGAGGTTGGGAGCTGCTTGTCAATTCCAAGAGGCACTATGATGGAGTCACTCTGGTGGCCAGGTGAGCTGTGCCCAGCCCCTGCCTGGAGGACTTTTATGCTTTTAGTCCTTTCTTGTGGTCTGGGCCTCATTCTGAGCACCTGCTGTCATCACAGGTCTCTGGTTGTCAAGAACTGCTGGCACAACCGTCCTGTCTTCAGTCTCCTCATCTGGACTCTCCAGGACCCAGACTGTGTCAATTACTTCACAGCCCTGGTGTTTCTGACCGAGGTAACTGGAGTTGGCTGGGCAGACGGCAGTAGGGACAGCAGCCATTGCCAGGTCCTCCTGTAGAAGGTCACAGGGACCAGAGTGGCCTGGTCTGTCCCTGCCCATGGAAGGGCTAAGAAACATGGCTGATAATGCTTATAGGTTTCCTAGAGTCATAGACCTTGATCCTACTTGAATCTCAAGACTGGGACTCTGCCCCGACTTTGTGGAACAGCACTTCTCTCTCTTCCAGTGACTTCAGCTTTGACTAGCCATTTAAATCAGCACCCCTGATTCACTCTATAATTCAGTCATCTGACAGGAAAAAATGTGTAGAGAATTTTTAAAAAATGGAACCATATATAAAATTTACAAAATCATTAATCATCACAGCACCTAGAGATAACCACTTTCTACTTTTGCCTGTATGAAGATATGTGTGTGCACATGTGTGTGCATGTGTACATGTGTACATGTGCCTGTGTTTATGTGTGTGTATGTGTGTACATATGTGTGTGCATGTATTTGTGTGTGTGTGTGTGTGTGTGTGTGTGCATGTGTATGTGTATGGAGGTCAGAGAACAACTTGCTTGAGTCAGTCCTCTCTTTCTACCATGTGGGTCCTCAGAGATTGAACCCAGGTTGTCACACTTGGTGACAAGGACCTTTCTTGCTAAGCCATCCTACCTAATTAAAAAGAAATGAAGTAGATTATGTCTGAATGCTGACAGAAGATAATACAGTAGTAATGCTAGGCTATGGACAGATGTTTCATCTGTGATACAGATGTGACATCATGTGACTTTATAGAGATTACAGGAAGGGCATTGGCATCTCTGTTACCAGAATCCTCTACCAGAGGAGGCTTGACTTTGGGAACCCAACAGACCAGACCTGGCTACTCACCCCCAAAAAACTAAACAGAAAAAGTAGTGGTGAGGTAGGAGAGTAATTTATTCAGTTGAGCCATAAAGGAAAGGACCAGAGGACCAAGGTCTTTAGCCACATATTCATGGGATTAACAAGAGCTTTGGTGCTATCAACAAGTGTCTTAGAGTTAGGACAAGAGAGGGAGCATTCATGGTTAAGTCACACTGGTCACACTGTGGTCTTACTGGTCATTAACACAAGATAGTTAGTCAAGATAAGAGAGTTGCTGCTGTCTGGGAGTAGTTTCCGTTCTTGGCAGGAGCTTTATCAGCCAGACCTGGAATTCAGGATGACTGCAGGAGAAGATGCCTCAGAGAGAAGAACAAGTCAGAAAGGCAAGATGGAGCCAGTATCTTCAGGTCCAGGGCTGTAGTGGAGACTTTCAGGTGCTGTTTTGGTGGTCTAGAACAGGTTTTATAACCAAGAAGTTGAGAACCTGTTGATTATGATGTCTCTGCTCTGTAAATCTTGAAAAATATCTTAGTTTTTTTTTTTTTTTTTGGTTTTTTTGCACAGGGTCTCCCTGTTGCTCCAGCTGGCCTGGAACTCACTAGGTAGACCAGGCTGGCTTTGAACTCACATAGATCTGCCTGTCTCTGCCTCACTAGGGCTGGGATTAAAGGTGTGCTACCACGCCCAGCCAGTTTCTGTGTCTTTTCCAGCACAGCTCAAATATCCACTCACCAGGGTCTCCCTGTAGCCCCAGTTGACCTGGAACACACTATGTAGACCAGGCGGGCCTCGAACTCAAAGAGATTCGCCTGCCTCTGCCTCCCAAGTGCTGGGATTAAAGGCGTGTGCCACCACGCCCAGCCTGAAAAAATCTTAGTTACTTTTATCTTGGTTCCTGCAATTGTGAAGAGGGAGTGCTACCAATTTTTTTGTATTTTATTTATTATTTTTATTTTATGTGTATGAGTATATTGCCAGCATGTATGTATGTGCACTTGTGTCATGCAATGCCCACAGATGTCAGAAGAGGGCATTGGATTCTCCTGGAACTGGAGTTATGGATAGTTGTTAGCTGCCATGTGGGTGCTGAGAACTGAATCTTGGTCCTCCAGAAGAGCAGCCTGTGCTCTTAACTACTGAGTCATCTCTCCAGCTCAGTAATACTAGTTTTTAGAGAGATATTCTTTTTTTGTCTTTTTAAAAATTTTATTTGTTATTTTTATTTTATGTGTATGCGTGTATTGTCTGCATGTAGGTAAGTGCACCCATGTCATGCAATGCCCATGGAGGTTAGAAGAGGCTGTTGGATACCCTGGGACTGGAGTTACAAACAGTTGTTAGCTGCCATGTGGGTGCTTGGATTCAGAACCCAGTCTTCTGCAAGAACAATCAGTGTTCCTATCATAATCATCTTAATACCCTCCCCCCCACTGGCACCCTCCTATAGACCCCCCACACACACACTGGAGTCCATATACTCTGTCATCCCTGTTACTGCCCACTGTGTTGTCAGTGCCCTCAGCCATTCTCCCGAGCACGTCCATCTGCTGAGTCTAGTCAGCCTGCCGGTGCTAGCCGGCCAAGACGGACAGTACCTGAAAGGGGGAGTGAGGATTGAAAGAAAAAACGAGACAGAAAAGATACTTGGGAGGGCTGTCAGTAGGGACTGCAGCCCCAGTTTATTTTAGCTCCTCCTTTTTATACAGAACATCAGAGATCTTAACTCAATTAATTTCAACAGCTGTTTTTCCCACCTGTATCTGAGGGTCAAGGAGCGGTCAAATACTTCAAAGGCTTCTTTGACCTTTTTGTCTACCACTATTGCCTCCAGGTCAGATATTGTGAGGCTCTCCATATAAACACATTCCTCCTGATTTGGCAGATTAGGTACTGGTGTGCAGAACACAAACTCAGTAAACAAGCCTGCCACAGCTCAATGTACATAATGGATTAATAGCTCCCAACATCAGCCTATCTAGAGTCCCTTATTTTAGGAAGATCAGCTCTTCCTCATCTAGCACCAATCAGTTGCCAGCATTCCTTTAGATAAGATTGGGGCCTGCTCTTCATTATCCCACCATTATCTATACAGGGTTACTGTCTGCCTCAGTTTGCATGGGACTTGTGTGTGCTGACATCTATGCCATAGAATCATATGAGCAGGTACCCAGGAGCTTGTAGAACTCTGTTTCCATATGGTCATGCACATCCTCCCTGGCTCTTACAATCTTTCTGCCCCCTCTTCTGTGATGGTCCCTGAGCCTTGGGTGGGTGAAATTTAATAAAGGGGTCCTGTCCAAGGACCATTATTTAGCAGACTCTTGATTACTACACTTTGGCCATTTGTGACCTTTTGTGTTCCTGGCCCTCCACTGCATGAAGAAGCTTCATTACTGAGAACTGAGAGATTCATTAGTGTCCTCTTCTTTATCCCTGCTCTGTTTCATGAGACTTAGGTATAGAGGTTGCATTGCAGATGTGTCCCTTAGGCCTGGGCAATTTATAGACAATGTCCATGTGTGACCAGTTGTGGTGCTTGGTATTAGTCTCTGACTGCTGCAAAATAAGCTTCTTTGATGAGTGGTGACCAGGATATTTTTGTGTAAATATAAAGATACATATTTTGCATATAGTAAGAATTCACATTAGTCTAGTGATATGACAGTCTTAGGGTTTTCTCTAAGATCTATGACCACTCCGACCATGTGTATTAGGTTATGTTATAGTACCACACTTGAGTTTCCTCCCTTTGAGTGGGCATTTAGTCAAACTGGGTAGCTGTTGATTGCCTCCAAGATAAAAGTGCCACTACTGCACCAATGACATATGCTGTGCTGGCCATTGATGTGGTTGTTTGGTCTTGAAGCTAGTGCTGGGTCATCCATTGATGTTTTTCCTTGGCACTTTCATAGCGTTCTCCAAAGTGATGAGAGCTCACCTTCCAGGGAGGTGGCTTCCAGGTCAGTTGCAGCTCTGTTTCTCCAAATCCTATGTTGGCTGTATGTTCTGTTTTCAGCAGTAGGGTCTTACCTTCAAGTTCTGGGAGGCCATCAAGGACTGTGGCAGTAGCCTGAATAATTTAAGGAGTCTCTTAGACCACCCTGGCCAACAACTCAAAGGAAGGTATTTCCTGTCTGGCACTGTTTCTTGTCATGTAGCCTTTAGCTATACACATGGACTCATGTAGAGATAATGTATGTATAATTTGTCAGTAGGTTGTTGGACTAATATGGTTGCCTCTGTTTTTTTTTTAAGACTAGCTAGACATTATTTATCTCTCTCCTCTCTCTCACTGTCTAAGCCTCTGCCATGGTTTCCCCATTTAAAGTGTCCCCATTTTCCCCATTTTTCCCTTGATAATACCCGTCTCTTATAGGCCCACCTCTCTTGAGCTCCTTCTTTCCCTTTATCCCCAAGGTTCCTTATATATAGAGCTTCCTCTCCCCTCCCATTTAAATAACCCCATTTTTGTCCATATCTCCCTTAGTAACACCTGTTTCCTGCTGTTCTCTTGCAGGTTCTTTCTTTTCCTTTACTTCCCTGGTTCCTTTTCATTATTCTGGTTCCTGTAGTTATGTCTGGATAATAGAGAGATATTATTTATTTTTGTTTTTAAAAAATTTTATGTGTATGAGTGCTTTGCCTGCATCTAAGTGCACTATGTGTGTGCAATGCCTACAGAGGCCAGAAGAGGGTGTCAGATCCCCTGGGACTGCAGTTACAGACTGTTAGCCACCATGTAAGTGTTGAGAACCGAATCTTGGTCCTCTATAAGAGCAGTCAGTGCTCTTAACAACTAGTGCTCTTAGCCATTTCTCCAGTCCCCAGAGAGTTACTCTTTAAATTTAAAGATTAACATGTCCACACACAGAAATAAGCAGGAATCTGACCCAAAGTTTAAGGCAGCAAAGGAGACAGATGCAAAGTGAAGGCAGAGGTACCAAGCTTTTATTCCAGTTTTAGTTGCCCATCAGGCAACTGTAGGCCCAAGTGAAGGGTCAGTGCATGTGTGTTAACCTGTGCATGTGGGTGTGATATGCTGAGGTCCACATTCGAGGATGCTAGCATATACTTGCTAAGGATGTGAGGATAGTGCATGCAGGATTCAGAACCCTGACAAGCTGGGGATTGGTCAAGTA